GTTTCGCGTGCGCCTTCAAAATGGCGAGGTCAGGGGCTAAGGCGAGGTTCATGGCTTCGATGGGCTTGGCCAAGCGATCGAAGAATTCCGCGGCCCCGCGCAGGAGGGCGGGCTTGGTCGCATCGTTGCATGCCGTCATGGACTTGTAGAGCCCCAGCAGGTCATCCAGCCACTGTTGGAGCTGCTTGTATCTGGTGTTTTTGGTGACTTTTGGCGGGTTGAAAATTTTGTTCTCGAAATTCAATAATTCGTTAGAGCTCTAGTATTCTTTCCCGTGATATTCGATCTTCGCCCCCGCCGCGCTCGCGCTTGACGGCGTGCGGGCTTGAAAAGGTCCTCCTCCAAGGCCGCCGCGAGGCCGGGGGGTGTCGGGGCGGGGGCGGGCTGCTCCTCCTAAGGGGCGAGCGTGCCGGGCTGCTCCTCCTTCGGGGCGAGCATGGCAGGCACGACAAATAAATTCCTGTCTGCAATGCGCAACTCTGCAGCCACAAAACGATGGAAGAGAAAAGACGAAGAGGGGCGACTCGTCAGGTTGCTGGTTTCTGTGCTGTCTGGCGGGGTCTCTGCTGCGCTGCGTCGCGCCGTGCTGAGTCGGTGCGTGCCTTTGTGTGTGTGCCGTAATATAGACCGCATGTTAATGCGAAAATAGATCGTGTGGTTTGTGGGCTGCACCAGTAAACGATGTAATGATTGCATGCGGAGATGGATATCCAATGGGCAACCGCTGAGGGGTCTCTTTCGACCCCAGGCAAGCATAAGGGACTTTCCTATTGCGGACAATACAGATACCGCCACGCGCGCGTCGGCGCATTTTAGGCTGCAACAATATACGTAAGAGGGTTCAGTTTAGTTCCCAGGCGGGCATAGCGGCGTTCTATTGCTGGCAATGCAGGAACCGCCGCTCGCGCGCGTCCGCGCATTGCAAGCTGCATCAGTAGTTTGTGTTGGAAATAAACACGCACGTTAAGTTGCAAGTCCAATCGGCCGGCAAACGTTAGGGGTCCACTTTCGCTCCCAGGCAAGCACGGCGACTTTCCTATGGCCGACAATGCAGAAATCGCCCCGCGCGCGCGCGTCGGCGTCTTGTGGTCGCCACCAATAGACACAACCCGTAAAGACCGCAAATGAAGTTTGAAATCCAATCGGCGACCGCTAAGGGTGCGCTTGAGTTCCCAGGTCAGCATGCGGACAATAAAGGAGCCGCCGCGCCCGACCGCGAGCGCGAGCGCGCGTCGGCGCATTATAAGCTGCAGCAGTAGACCAACACCAAACAACCGCGTGGCAAATGGAGATCCAATCGACAACCGCTAAGGGTCCACTTTAGTTCCCAGGACAGCAAGGCCACGCTCCTGTTGCGGGCATTGGGTGATATTTCTAAAGATGAAAGGCGCGGGCGTGCACCGAGTGGTAGTTTTTTGTTAAATATGAAAGAAGGTTGGCGGGGGCAGCACCCCTTCCCAACACGTATTTTTCGGGCGAGGGTCGTTTAGGGACCAGGCGCGCGAGCGCACGGATGCGCACCGAGTGCTATTCTCTGCCGAGGATGAAACAAGGTGGCGTCGCGATCCTCCGCAAAACATACCACTCGGGCGAAGCCGCCAGCTGGCTTGGAAACTCTAAAGTCAGCCCTTCGCGGCGGCATGTTCGAATTCCAAATTAACGTTGGTCCTGGCGCATGCTTTCTGATGGCGCGCGTCGGCGCCTTGCCTGCTGCACTAGTAAACGGGAATGTGCAGACCGCCTGTTAGGGCGGAAATCTACTCGGTTACGGCTGAGGGTCCACTTTAATCCCTAAGCCAACATGGCGACGTTCCTATTGCTGGCAATACAGAGGCAGCCCGCCGCCCGTCGCCCGCCACCGGCCAGACATCAAAGAAAACACTCACAAGGCCCATGTTGACTGGGAAATCCAATCGGTCGCCTCTCTGTGAGGGCTCACAGTTTCCATGCCAACAAGGCGGCTCTCCTTGTGTGGGCAATTGAGAAACAACCACGCGGCGCGCGCTCGGGGACGTGCACCGAGTGGTACCCTTCGCTAGTGATGGAAGAGGGTGGGGCCGCGATCGCTCGCAAAAGCCACCTTTCGGGCGACGGCCCTTTTGGGGGCAGGCGAGCGCGCGCGCGTGCTAGGGGTGAAAGAAGGTGGGGTCGCGATCCTTCGAAGCTAAATACAATTTTGGGGCACTCGGGCGAGGGTCGTTTCGTTTGCAATGGCGAGAGGGGGCGTCGCGATCCTCCGCATACATACCACTCGGTCGAGGGTTAGTTGGGGACCAGGGGCGCGCCGAAACGAAAGGCGGGAAACGCGTGCGAAAGTAGCCACGCGCGGCGTTCGGCGGAGCCACCTATGGGGCCACGGAACGCGCGAGGAGCGCGTCGACGTGAAAGGCGCGGACGCATGCGAACGCACCCACTTGAGGCCTTCGGCGGCGCCCCCAATGCGGCCACGAAGCGCGCGAGGGGCGCGCCGAACCGAGAGGCGCGGACGCATGCGAACGCCGCCCCCTGGGGCGCGCAGCGAGGCCCCCACGAGGCGCGCGGGCGGCGCGCCGTAATGCGAGGCGCGGGCGCATGCAATCGCAGCCTCCTGGAGCCTTCGACAGACTCGCGATGGGGCTACGAAGTGTCTGAGGCTGCGTGCCAAAACGAGAAGCTCCGGGGAAGCGCACTAAACAATTTTCAACGCTTACAGCTCGGCGAGCGAGGCGCGCAAAAAGGCGCAACATGCACGCGCATCAACGCGCGACGCGCGCGAAACAGATCGCGCTGCTGAAAATTTCGGCGCGCGAAGCGTGCTGAGCGGTTTGCAACTTGTACACGTCGGCGCGCGGAGCTCCATCAACGGCTGACAACACGGAGCGCGCGAAACGGTTTATCATATGCACGCCTCGACACGCCCGAGCATTCCCGACCGCTCCCCAGCGATCCCGCTGCCGAGCTCCCCCTGGCTCGGGAAAGCTCAGGGGAGGGGCGGGGGGCGGGGGGGGCGAACAATGGCTTAGGAAGTCTGAAGGAGGCCAAAGGGGGGGCTTCGATTGGCTTCGGGTGGCCGAGGGGAGCCGGGCGCGTTGGCTTCGGGGCGCCGATTTGATTTGCAAGTGCAAAGTTGATTTCGCGAGTTCGATTGCCGATGCATTTGCGCAATTGATTTCGCGAGTTTGTTCGCCGAGTGGATTTGCAGAGTTGAGTTCGCGAGTTGACTTGCGGAGTTCATTTGCCGAGTTGTTTCGCAGACTTGATTTGCAGAGTTGGTTCGCAGAGTTGATTTCGCGAGTTGACTGGCAGCGTTGATTTGCCGAGTTGATTTGTCGAATTGGCTCGCAGAGCTGACTTCGCGAGTTCATGGGCAGAGCTGATTTCGCAAGCTGGCTTCGCCAGTTGATTTGCAAAGTTGATTCGCATAATTGATGTCGCCGGTTGATTCACCGAGTTGATTTGCCGAGTTGATTTGCAGAGTTGATTTCGCGAGTCGATTTGCCGAGTAGGTCTGCCGAGTTGATTTGCAGAGTTGAGTTCGCGAGTTGATTTGCCTAGTTGATTCTCATAGTTGACTTCGCGAGTTGATTTGCCGAGTTGATTCGCAGAGTTGATTTCGCGAGTTGATTTGCCGAGTTGATTTGCCGAGTTGATTCGCAGAGTTGATTTGCCGAGTTGATTTGCCGAGTTGATTTGTAGGGTTGAATTGCAGACTTGATTTGCAGAGTTGATTTGCCGGTTTGGTTCGCAGAGTTGAATTGCCGAGTTGATTTGCCGAGTTGATTCGCAGAATTGCTTTGCAGAGTTGATTCGCAGAGTTGATTTGCCGAGTTGATTTGCCGATTTGATTCGCAGAGTTGATTTCGCGAGTTGGTTCGCCGAGTTGATGTACCGAGGTGGTTTGTCGAGTTGGTTCGCAGAGCTGGTTGGTCGAATGGCTTCGCAGAGATGATTCCGCGAGTTGATTGGCAGTTTTGATTTCGCGGCTTGATTTCGCGAGTCGATTCACAAAGTTGCTCGGCAGCGCTGGTTTCGCTGGTTTCATTCGCCGAGTTGATTCGCCGAGTTGATTTGCAGAGTTGATTTCGCGAGTTGATTCGCCGAGGAGGTATGCCGAGTCGATTGGCAGAGTCGAATCGCGGAGTTGATTTGCCGAGTTGATTCGCAGAGTTGGTTTCGCGAGTTGATTTGCCGAGTTGATTCGCAAAGTTGATTCCGCGAGTTGATTCGCAAAGTTGGTTCGCAGAGTTGATTTCGAGAGTTGATTTCGCGAGTTGATTTGCCGAGTTGATTCGCAGAGTTGGTTCGCAGAGTTGATTTCGAGAGTTGATTTCGCGAGTTGATTTGCCGAATTGATTTGCAGAGTTGATTCCGCGAGTTGATTTGCCGAGTTGATTTGCAGAGTTGATTCCGCGAGTTGATTCGCAGAATTGATTCGCAGACTTGGTTTCGCTTGTTAGTCCGCCGAGTTGATTCGCAGAGTTGATTTCGCGAGTTGGTTTGCCGAGTTGGTTCGTGGAGTTGATTTTGCGAGTTGGTTTGCTGGGTTGATTTGCCGAGTTGGTTTGCAGAGTTAATTTCGCAAGTTGATTTGCAGAGTTGGTTTCGATAGTTGGTTTGCCAAGTTGGTTTCGCGAGTTGACTTGATCGGCGAATTGACTGAGCGAGTTGATTTGGGCCCCCCGAGTTGGCGGGCCGAGTTGACCGGCGTCTCGCGCTCGTGTCGGGGCACCGTGTCTGCAAGCCACATCGCGTTGGGTCTCCGTGTCTAGGCGCCGTCGTCGCGTCGGCCCCCCGTGCCTCCGCGCGGCCACCGTGACGGGCATCCGCGCCTCCACGTCGCCATCATGAGGGGAAGTCGTGCATCGGCGCCGTCGTCACATTGCACGATGCACCTACCGACTGACACCCAGAGACCGCGCGTGGGGGTGGACACGATCGGTCAAAACACAGGGTTCACTTCTAGTCTGACGACCGACGAACCTCCGCGCGCGAGCGCTCGCACACATCCAGACACACACACACACGCGTTGCGCGATGCACCAACAGACGCGGACATAGAGACCGCGCGTTTAGCAAGAGATCCAACTTGGCCCCCGCGAAGGGCTCACATTCCTTGCCTGGCCGTTATGGCCCCTCCCCTTTCTATGCTACTCTTAGCGCATTGTATGCCGCGCAGATAGACTGGCACGGAAAGACCGCATGCGG